CTACTTTCTTCCTTTCTTCCTTTCTTCCTTTCTTCCTTTCTTCCTTTCTTTTTTTCTTTCTTTCTTGAAAATGAAAAAAATCAATACCAAGTGCTTTCAATACCTTACAAAGAGAATCCCATAATATAGAGTAGCTTTATATATATATTTATAACGTTAAAACACCCAAGCTATATATAGTGATTTTTTTAACATTGATTATTTCCCTTTGTAAAGTTTTATGTGGATATCCGGTTACCATGGAAACCCGGTCTATCGACAGTTACTTACAACGTATAATCTCTTGGTTCTTCGAAATATTTAATTGTATTGATAAAAAACTTGTCGGGTCTGATGACATGGGCTTCAAAAGCACTCATTTTATTGCGAGTATGAGAAAGAAGCCGTTCTTCCGTTATATTTATAGCTTCACAAGTAGCTTATTTCATATTTAGCGACTTCTTCTGTTATATGGATAATCAAAATAATCGAATAAACCGGTAGTGCTGGAAGCAGATTGCAGATCGTTCACAAGCAATAACAAAGGACCCAGTATAGATCCTTGAGGGACTCCTTATTATAAGTCATAGACCCTAAAGTTTCCACTTAAGACTTTTCCTCCCGGTAAAAAAGGAGTAGAAAAGTCGTTGAGAATATAGAGTAGTAAGAGTAGAGGCTACAGTAAATAGYTTCTGTCTTTTAAAACAGACCAGTAGAAGATGAGGACTTGAAGAACTAAAGATAGATCCGTGGGGAATTCCATGAGATATAGGTTTGACGCAAAACGAATATTTTACTGAGCTTTATCAGTTTCCGACAAATGAAGGAGGTACTTAGGACGGAAAATATTAATATGAAAATTCTTTTAGATTTTACTCATGCGAAAATTAGAAAAATAATGAAAGCAGATATTGTTCTGACAATTTCCTGAATGATGTCTTCCCCAATATTAATTTAGCATCAAATCAATTTGAAGAAGTCTAAGAACTAGGGATGATTGAAGGGCAATATCCTTAAAACTTGGCATTTAATTTAATTTATTTTCAAATTGACTAAGCCAGATGCAAATCATTTATCGATATAGGAAAATGCATTTTTTTCCATTTCTTCTTTTTTGCGTGCAAATTTGACATGCAACTTTTTTCAGTCAAAAAAAATTTTTTTGGGAAAAATTTTTGTTTTTGCTATTTTATTTTATTATATTCCCTATCGTGGTTTGGTGTCTTGTTTTATTCTCATTTATTTCTTGTATCCTGAGCAAAACCAAAATGGCTTTGTTACACGTTTGTCTTCTTTTATATTTATTTAATTTTATCTCGTTCGGAAATTATCATATTATCATATAACGTACTTTCTTCTATCGATGTCTTATTCTTAGTAGAATATTTGGTTAGTCTCTACATATATTCAGTCTCTACATATCTTCAGGATTGTGCTATGCTGTGAAAAACGTTCCGCAGATCGTTATGATCAGCACTTTAAGAATACACCCGAAGGRCAGCTGAATACAGCATGCAGCAGGCCTTTGAGCGGTTCAATGCAAATTAAATGTTATTTCTCTTCTCCTTATCTGATCTTCGGCCAAATAAAACGCTCTTAAGAGTCCGATCAATCTTGAGACAAAGCTTAAGGAAGGTTGCGCGCGCGATTTCTCAAAGTATTTCTCAGTGTAAAGCCCTGCTTCCTTCAGTTTCCCGGGAATCACTGAAAAAGTCTTTTTGGAAAACAAAGAGAGCCACTGTTAATAGCACATTAATGGGAAAGTACTTATTTACCCCTATTAAATTTTTTAAATAAGAATTGCTGGGAAATACGGAGTTAGTCATGTATTGTTGATTCGATAGGAAATGTCTAACAGATAACTCTACAATCTTTAAATAACGAAGTTAAGGAGTTTTCACTTGTCACAACTTGAACCTATTTCGATGTCTTCGCAGAGGAACAAAGCGCGGGAGATTCGGCGCGTGCGGTAACTTATCTTGAAAAAACCTGTTCTCAACTCTACCGGTGTTCGTATCATACTCTATTTTCCCCTTATTAATGACACTACCCATTAAAAACAAATTATCACTCTTTTCTCACATTTCCTGTTATGTTTTCGCCCTTCCACTATTTATTCAGCCCAACTAAAAGCAGAGGATGTTCTCGTTATAAGCAGTTATGATAAAACTTCCTACTCAAATGAGACCTAAATATTTTTCTTAAAAATAAATTGTCCGGCCCACAGCAGAGCTAGCACGGCGTGAATCCACAAATTGCTAAAACCAACTAAGACATGCTTTTACTGTAATTTTAGATTTTCGTGTGGGTTTGATACTGTAAAATACTCTAACGAGTGGTTTGCAATCATTCTGAAGACAATTAAATTAATTAAAGACTTAAAATTCTTTAAAAAAAGAATCAAAAACATGGCGGCCATTTTGGGTGATAGAATAAAAGATAATAATGAAAAAATCGTTCGTAAAATCAACCAGCATGACGGCTATCCTCTATAAACCAACAATGTTTTGAAGGCATCGATTAAGTTATGTGTATCGTTTTCCAGAATATTTTTCTATAGAATGCAATATTATGCTTTTTAAAAGGTTATGGGGATTAGAGCGGTAATAAAAAGATTATTAGCATAATCTATCGATGAATTATCTTTATTCTAAAATAAGGTACAATTGGTAAAAATCCTCCCACTTTTATGTCGTTGCTAGGTTACGATATTCGACGTCGGTCGACACTCGCTTTGTCTAAATTAGTTTTTGGCATGAAGGACATTTTGGGAAAAAGCCTATTTAATCGATTTAATTGGCTGAAGTATTCGATACTTTAGGGCGCTCTTCTGATGAGTGGGAAGCAATTTTCTAATCTGTAGGACTTGAGTACACGTACGTACATATAACGTGGCGAGCATCCCTTTCGAGGAGAATAAAACCTTATTTTCACTAGCAACGCTACCGAAGGGAGGAGGGGAGAGGGAGGGAATCGATCCTTATGCTTGCATTGAGCCTGTTTTCACAATGAAATATTTCATCATATTCACGACTATCTTCATAGATAGAACTATAAGAAGTCCATCTAGGCAGCCTTACTTCTTTCGATAATGAGAAAACGTTTCTTTTGCCAACAATCTGTCATGAAATATTATTTCATTACCAGCATTTACATGGCAAAGGAAGCCCACGAATGATTTAAAGAGATATGTGTTGTCATGGTAGCAATATGTATACAATAATATGATTTGCAACGGGAAGTAAAGAAATATTACGAGAAAGAGAAGAAATGGGAGGGGAGGTGTCGGTATCGGCAAGTATTTGCTTGCTCGTCCACTTACAAATCACGATGTTTTGTTTAAACTAGCTCGTCCAATATTTCCTTATTGTTAAAGTTTTATTGGTTACTCCATTAGGATGATGATGATGACTTATTCACCGTTACGAGAAAACCGAGGAAGGCCGTCAAACCGCTGGGAGATGATGATTTGTTTGGAGACTCTGGTGACATATTCGCTGATGTTCCAATTAAACCAAGAGAAAAGAAGAAAAAGAAATCAGCCGGAGTTGCTGCTGCTGCTGCTGCTGCTGCTGCTGCTGCTGCGACTGGAGGTAAGCAGATGCTTATAAGTTCCATAGATCCGCTCTTCGTATTGGTTAGAAAGTTTGTCTCTGGTGCAAGAAGTCATTTAGTAGGGTCATAGATCAAGAATTGTTTTTGGTTGACCATGTTTCTTCATTTTTTCGCGATCCATCTTTATCCATTGTGTATTTTGAATACAGGAACCGCGGAAGGGAGTGGTCTGCGGGATTTACCCCWGTCCATCACAATATTTAATGAACTGCACCTCCTCTTCCCCCTCCCCCAAACAGTCAGCGATGTAGGCTCATCCCTGATGCTTTGCGGTTCCTAAAACACGAGTTGTTTAGAAGGCTTATAGATCAGCTTCTTTTTCTTGCTACTTTGTTTGGGAAATACGTCACTGACCACGTGYTTTATATATATATAGATTCCATATTCGACGATAAGCCCAGCGAGAAAACAACCAAGAAAACAAAAACCAAAAAGAAAACAGGGGAGAAAAAAGCTGCTAAAGCTCCCTCAATATTCGATGACGATGCACCGAATATCTTTGACGATCCACTGAATGCAACGTCCACTAAATGATCTCGTGTACTTATATCAATAGAGATTCTGCAGTTTATTACGGGGTAGGTCTACCGTCTTTTGCGCTGTATGACTAAAGTCCCTGCTTAGGTGAATTTCTCGAATTGGGGGGAGGAGGGGCGGGAGATTTATAAAAACTAAATACGCGATAGATCCCATTCAAAATTATCTTTGATTCGAGGCCAACACGAAACTAAAGAAGAGGCGGCACAAATTCTATCGAGAAAAATTGGGTCTCTTTTATGTTAACCTCTCATCCAAAATAATTTGAAATGAAAAGAGTCAATAGAAGCTTAGAAAACATTTTTGGCCTTGTACAGAACTTTTACCACTGGTGGGAGGGGGAATAAATGCGCAGAATTTAAAATGAAGGATATTTGTAACAGGTTGTTTCATAATGCGAAACGTACCTAGAATCAGTGTTATAACTTTGTCTACTCATACGGTATTGGATCTTGATTTCCTCTATTCTTTGCCTTTTTAATGCATTCAGAGCGAATAATACAGAAGTAATTAGAGACATTATATGTAGCACTTGTACAGAGGAAACTGTGGAAATGATAGCTTATGGTGCTGGGGTTTGACAGCGAAACTACGTCAGCCAAAATTTACCCTTCAAATTAGACCAATACCCTGAAACAACCTCTGGGCTGATCAAACGTCAGGACACGACTAACTCACTGACTCACTAACTCACTGTATTGGAAATTAGCTGCAAATTCTTAATATCATAATATATAAAAAATTCACCCTTTAGATGATTGAATGTCACTTAAATATTCGTAAAAATGGCCTTGGCTCCGTGGTTCAACTTAAACACATCCATTTATATAATAAAAATACTATATTTTTTGAAAATTACTGTTCTCGATGTCTCCTACTCGACTTAACGTTAACTGACCTTCTCCCACGCTAAGAATCTGCACTTAAGCTGCTCTCGGGACCTCCACGGTTAGATAATTGGCAATTAAAAAAGGAATTATGTTAAGTATACTCGAAGAATTTCCATTTCGAGAAAATCACCCTTCCAAGGTCCTTATGTCTTTGCTGACCCCATATCAGTTGGGCGCGGCTTAGAGATTGTTTTGTCATTATTAAGATCTGTGGGTGAGATCACAATGCTTCAGCGCCGTACTGTCACGGCCACACTAAGTCAATCTCCAATCCACTATTTTTATGATAGTGAATAACTCTTACGAAAAAATAACTTTATATTATAAACTTTTTTTTTAACAAAATTAAAATTAAATTAAAATATGATAAAAAACATAATCAGTAACAATGTGCCAAAGAGTTGGATCAGTTAGGAAATCATTAGGAAATAAAGTAAAAAAAAAAGTCTTTCATCTGATCATTCCCCTAAACTAACTCTGATCTGAATTAAAAATGAATTCCAGAAATGAAGTTACTGATAGAATAAACCAAAATACAACATCTGTCATGTTTTTCAATAGCACTAAAGCAATCGGAAGGATCAGCCCTTAGTTTCATTTTTCAAGGCTGCTATTTCTATCACACGTTTTGTAAAGCTGCCTTGTGCCAATTACCACCAATCTGGTGGACATTTCCACAATAGCTAACGTCATAGGGCTTCATCTATTTTTGGTTGGTTACTTGATACTGCATTGTCCATTGTTCTCTGCCTTCCTATTCATGGTTCCGATTCAGACAATAGCGAACCAATCACCTTTGCAGCAGTTTTCCTAGTGGAGTTAAAATCTTGTCCCACAAACAACTAAAGTATCTGTTTTAAAGAATACTATACAATAAATACGAGACAATTTTCTATTCTTTTCGCAGGACAGTAAGCTATTGAAACAATTTATCAGAGCTTTAAATTCTGAGATATTCTAGATGATTTGTTAAGCTTGTGGGACATAGCAACGGTAACTAAGGGGAGTCGATCCTATCATAAGTCTTGGGTATCATGAATCGCGTCATGCGAAAGCCTTGTTGCCTTTGCAATTGTCGAGCTAAAGATGTCAGCGCAGTTGAATAACTGTGGGGGGAGGGGAGATGTCACTACTCGTTAATTTTAATTTTTTTGCATTACTGTGAGGGGATGGGTGGGGAAGGATCGTTAGTGTTAGATTTCATCTGCGTAAAGGTTTCTATTACTTTGATCTACAGCCTGTACTATAAGAAGTCTTAGATTGTCTGATTTCATTTTCATAAGATAAACAATTAGTCTTTTTACTTGAGCATCTCTTAACTCATTTCACAACCAATTAATTTTAATTGATAATCAATCAATTGTTAGTTTCTAACAGTAATTCCTTATTCAGAACCATTTTTTATTTCCCCTTATTCATTCCTTTCCCCTTCTTTTCGATTTAACACGCTTTTTTGTCCTTCTTGAAAGCCCAAGAAAAGGAAAATAGAATTATCAGCAAAAATACTCGAAATATCCAAATCATCCCGAAGGAATGATTGCGTGCTGGGTGTCAAATTCCACGTGACCAAACTCGACCTTGCAGATCCCATGATAAGCAGAAGTTGTCGTCGGCGAGGTGTTTGAATGATAATCTATCGGGGTATTTATRGTCGTGCTATTATCTCAAGACCAACATGTTCCAACACAACATCAAGTCGTGTTGATTAAGTAAAGAATGTCCGCATTAGATCATTGTGTGGTCTTGTTGATGCAGCGACCTTACCGTCATCTCGTGATCATATTTTTTCCTCCATTTTTCAAGGTTTCTACTCTTTTCCCCCTTCTGTTTATGCTAGAATAACGTGTTTTATATTGCCTGTGATTGATAGCCCACGTTGAAGTTAGAATGCGTGCGGCCGTTTGGTAAATATATATGCACCGTGTTAATCCATGTTTCAGTCATTAATCATGCACCACCCATCCACTCCACTTACTTTGCAATACTCCAGACATCACACTGCATGCCTTAAACATATGCATAGCGTTTAAATTTGCCTCAAGGACATTTTTTAAAATGTAAAACTTCAATGATGCCAAATATAAATTTTTAAAATAAAGACCCCTTTGACTGATAACATTACGCGAGAAGAGCATCATGGGATATGTCCCTTGTGATTGACAACATCACGTGACATCACTGGCTTAATGTTGTAAACACCAAAACAGCTTATAATTACCAACCCCTCGTAGGATAAGAGAACATATAAAGTCAGTTTCCCCTAAACCAATCAAAAGCCAGAGATCTCGATAAATCAGAATCTTTAAGAAAAACGCTTACGCCATACGTCCTAACATCACTTCTCAATAAGGAAAGTTACTTTTTTTCGGGGGGGGAGGGGGGGTAGAATTTAACTTTTTTTCAAATGATTGTAGCCCTCTCCCTTTCATTCAGTAAGAAACTCGTGACACACACCTATTAAGTCAACAAGAAAGGCTTTCGTTAAAATAAAAAGGTTTCAGAGGTTGACCCTGATTTAAAATAGTATTTAAAATTATTTAAATTTTTACTGAAAACGTACGTTCCCTAATATATAATCTGTTGTAAGTTCCAACACGTTGGTTCGTATCCCTACGGCGCGGATATCCTTGGCTTTGAGGGATTATAAACAAGATTATGTTGTGTTGTATCGTATTAAGCCGCCTTGTTGACTCGCTAATGAATCTCCTCTGAATCAACTCTGAATGCTTCTGGTGTTTATTCAACTAACCAACCTAGTCTTTCACATCAAATACTTTGAATTACTGGGTTACGACAAGATATGACGTGTTAATATGCTTGGTTAAACGCGAGTAGATTTTTGGATCAAGTGTAGGGGGCATAAAAACGTTTCTTGCTTATTACACATATTTGCAGTAAGGACACTCGTGAGCACTTCGAGTTTTTTGTCACTTTTATTAAATTGCACGATGTAAATCTTCCCTTGAGCCAATCAATTGGAAATGCTCATTGTAATCGGCTTATTTGAACTCAATGATTCATTTTATAAGAGGGTTGGAAATAATAGAAAGTTCAGGAAAAAATAATCTGGAAAAAAAAAACTCGTGTACCCTCTTAAACGATTAAACTCGGTGAGTGTCCTCACCGAGTTTAATCGGTTTAGGTAGGTAGCATTGAATTGTAAGGATAAAAAAATAGAGATGTATTCAATGTGGTGTAATTCCAGTTTTCCGTAGTTTAATTCTTTTTTTAAAGAGGATTAGTCTTAATCTTTTCTCTCTTTTTTCCTTTTGTTTTTATGATTATTCACATGAAAAATCTCACGAAAATGTTTACATATCTTATTTTATTTTATTATTTTTATTGTACATTTACTTTTAGTATTGTTCCTCATTTTGTTAGTGTTGCTAATCTTTTTACTACATACATAGACACATAAATGCATACTTAATTTATTGAATACAGCTCCCTATCGAGGTTTTTCATGTGACGTCATAGCAGCCGGCATGTTCGGGGGCAAAACGAATGGTATTTACTCCTTTGGAAAATAAATTTTCTTGTCATGCAAAATTATTGCATTACTCCCAACCACAAACATGGCTGCCGTGAAAAACCTCTAAAAGGGCTCTTCCTCGATAAATAAATTATTCATCGCTTCGCATAAGGATCAGCAACGAGATTCAAAGTACATCTTAAACAGCTCCACCCACGGGGCGGGGACGAACATTACTCCAGTTGAATGCCAAAGGTCGAAGTGCACTGCAGGTCTAATCGGTCCAGACCTTTCTGGTTTTTTTTATCGCCATTTTCATTGCTACGTGCTGATCGAGGGAGAAATAGGGCAATATACTGCCGTTAATCAAAGTAACTTGATCTGATCGATGGCAGTCTATTGCCCGATTTCCCTGTTGCGATTGTTCTCTCGATGAACGAGCAGCAATGAAAACAGTGGAAATTGTTTAAAAAAAGTCCATTTAAACAAAATACTGTATGTAAATAATGCGATATAATAAGATACTGAAGACCTGCCTTTAATATTTAATTTGATTATTTTGACTGTTCTTAAGGCGTACATTTACAACGTAAATGTAACGTGCCTTGCCGCCGACGGCTCATCACAATAACAACAAAGATATTTAATAAAAACCTCAATATAGCATCTTTGGACATTAATACATAATRTAACCACGTTCAGTGAATCAGAAGCTTTCATCCAATCTATCACGCGCATCTTGCTTATTGGAAACTTGATGTCTTTGGAACTTGGGGAGCTGTTTGCAAACTTCTTGTAGCCTACGTACTGACATTCTCTTGTCTTTAGGCTTTGTACGTGCAAGATTGCATGAACCCCCTCCCCTCCCCCCCCAACATGGATTCAATGATACAAAAAATACAAGCCCACGCCCAAACATTCAATGAAGTCGTCTATCAAGTGACCCGTGAAATTGTTTTTGACTATTGCGCAGTCAATATTGCTTTCAATATAGATACTTTTTCGATTAATTTTTACGTCTCGTGGAATGAAAACCATGATAGTCAAATATTGATTAAAAATAAGTGAGGTCCTTTTATCATAATTAAGCCTTTTAAGTCTAATTGTTTGTTTACTTGTTCATAAATTCACTGATAGCTTTTCAGTCTTTGACTTCCATGCACCTGTGGAGCCGTCTATCGTTCACCATGACGACTCCCCTCTAACCACAAGCTGTCTCACCGAATCTAACAAAGCTCATGACCACATTCACAAAGATAAAAACTGATTTGAAAAAAATATGTTGGTTCTCCAATTGGTTGAGCGGTGAGGCCCTTTTTGATCTCTATAGGTGGCCCTAGAAATTCAATTAGTGTGGGAGGATTTCTATTGGTCAATACCTCGCACCTGTTTGGAGTTCTTACTTGGATATTTGTATGCAGATTTCGTTTTCCCAGACAAAGAACGTCTGAAGTCTCTGACGTGGACGCCCAGGTTTTTTAAATAATAATCAACCTAATGTAAATATCACATTTAGGAAATATTCTTCAGTCAAAATAAATGGGCTTTTTGAGATTATTTCGTCATATGAAAGCGTGGGTTTGAAGATTGGATTTTATTTTTTTTACGAGTGTAATTTCAAGAGTCGGTGTATATTTACAACTGAAGTCAGGGTAACAAGTTGTTTATAAAGTCGACGTTGGGTATCGATTGAAATTGGACGTTTTAAAGGCGAACAAAGACTATTTTTAAATCTTCGGTTCGAGTTAAAAATAATAATATTAGTACGAGACAGTTTCCTACTCACTGCTCAGTACCACTTTTTAATAATCAAAACCCTTTAATATTTGTCTATTCTACGATTTTCCCGCCACAAAACCGTGTCTTATTTATCTCTAGTTTTCCCCAATTCACAATTTCATTCAAATTGCTCAGCTTCATCATATATTGACCTTTGAACAGAACAAATTTTATTTGAACATTTTGGGAGTTTTTTATTTTGGTTGCTGTGTTTCGTATAATTCAATTCCCAGCCAAATCAAACGAAATGAGCGTCTGGTTTGTTTCTTAAGTAAAAGAAATGTCATTTAAGTATAACAATTTTCCACAAGGAAATTTTAATAATATTTTTGGGCCCAAATACATAAATTTCGTAGTAAAGATTTTCCTTAACAAAGGTGGCATGGTGCCATGCGAAGCTGACTAGCTAAAGTGAATGCGAATCGTCACACCCCAACAATCCACCACCAAGAGATATAAACAGTGACAATGAATGCCTTTCTTCATTTTTTGCATTTTCTCACTTCATCGTAATCTCTTCTAAGTTCCTGTTCAAATTATGGTTCTTGGATAATCAAATAAGCCGTGACCTCAGCTTTCAAAAGTAATCAAAATTTTCTACTTAAACGAAAGGGGAAAAATAGGGGTTTTATTCAAGGAGTTAATGTATAATGTACTTAATAATTCCTTTTGGGCGACTCCTCTTTGTTCTGTACGAGTAAAACTAAAGCCACCGGCTTGGAACACGTGCTTAATCTAATTTATTGTGAACATTTCCTGGATCGTATAAATTTTCCCAAGTTGGAACACGCGTCGAAATTCTTTGAATTGACTGGATTATAACACTGTGGGGGAAAAAATGATTGATGATGAACAGGGGATGTTTAAAAAGAAAGTATAACTCCACCACCAGTCAGTCTTTGTCTTGTCTGTCTGCGTTTAAAAACGTATGAATTTACGTATGAAAACAACCTCGAAAGTGACTAAACGTAAAGTTTCCCGTGAATAACTCGTGATTGGCAAAATTGCAAACTCAACTGAAATTAAATCTAACCAGATTATATTCCTGCATAAATTTTACATGCACTCAGATCTATTTTTACCTCTCAAAGGCTCTTCACTTCGACGAAACAGGAAACTTTCTTTGTCTCTCTATCAGCTGTTATATCAGATCCACAATGCAACGCGGACTTTACGCGCCATTTATGTTTAGCCATGCGTGTGGACGCGGGAAAAGTCATTCATTTCGATAGTCACATGACTTGCGAGTAAAACCCACCAATCAGCAAGCGAGGAAATGAAGAGTATTACCATTGTACTTCAATGTATTGTTTAATCAACCAATCAGCACCCCCTGAAACCTACGCTGTTGTTGTTGTCAAAATGCAAATAGCTATTTTTTGCGACCTCGTGTAAAAGGAAGAAAAAATTTTTTTGTTGCGACCCACCCACCAAGTTGTAAAGTGCTTGAATTTTATCCGTATTACTATCAAAGAACTCTACGAAAAATATGCCAGAATATGATTCACAACACACAGATATCAGTGATATCGATGTCCATGGAAAGAAAGCTCGCTTTACTGCAGGAAAAGTTTGGAGTTCTACAACTCCTCCGGGCAGCCGTACTCTCGAACTCGACGGCGTTATCGAGGTTTTAAAGGAATACGATTCTGTGGAAGGCAACGATATAAACTGTTCTATTTGTGGTGAGTAAAAGCTAWTGGAGTATTTCTTTAATTTGAGGAAATTTTTAAGACTGTAGTGGATATTTTACGCGCCAAACGTGGCGTACCGAATTCATTCATTTACGACTCCATCACTCATGTTTACATCACGATTTGAATTAAATTCGCCGGCTAGTAGAAAAATATTTCCCAAAAATCTGTTTCGGCTTAAAGCGGTTATTTTATTTCATACTTCAGCTGAACAATTATTTCTTAACTTTCTTGGAGTATATTTTTGGCCATTCAAACGGCAATACTATTTTTAACAAATATTTTGAAAATATTTTGAACACGAAAGAAAATTATTTAGCTGGATAAACAAACGCGGGCCGTAACTTTCGCCTGTTCCTTTATAACTTTTTTTCAAATTACTTTGTTATTTTAAAATCTTTTGAATTACAAAAGTGTTTACGAGTTTCTGTTTCTGAAAATCGTTTGTTTTGATGCTAAATCTTGGTGCGTAATTTTTATCGAATTTTTGTTCGATTAAAGCGAGTCATGTGAGAGAAAGCCTCGTGTTTCGCTTCAACATAACTGAAACTAGTATATATTTTTTTCTTGCGCCGTTAAGATATCACCTCATACTAAGAAATAAAATAATTTTAATCTATGTATAAGGATTTTGAAACTCATATTTCTAAAAACTAACGTAAATAATTAAAAAAATTTTTTTTGACAATATAATTTTTGTTTGTTGTTGACAGTTCGTCAGTCGATCTTTTTTTAGACGACACGTCTTAACTTGCATTTTTTACCGATTTTTTTCCACAGGAAAGCTATACAAAAGTAAAGTATGCTTTACGAAACATTTATGGGAGCATAGTATATATTGGGATACTTTTGACGGCGTTAAAAATCAAGAACGAGTACTCTCCATACAAGCTGCAATAATTCTATCGCAACCATATTTGGAATTTTTGTTAGTTACGTCGCCTTCGTCGAACGAAAAAAGAAAAGACGATGTTGTGAAAAATAGTGGGCAGAGAAAAATGGCGTCGAGAAAAAGAAGTAGGGGTTCAGAATCTTCAGTCGAATTATAATTTTTCTTAGTGTGGTATATAGCATTACTACGTTGTAAACATTAATATGTATATTCAGGTCCCTTGTGTATATTACACAGCCCCGTAAGGTATGTCATTTGACAACAACATAATTATTATATATTCCATTGAGTTATTAGTTTAAAAGATATAATTTTTTTTGAGATTGTATTCAAAAGGTTAAGTTTTGTTAAGTTTTTCCTAAAGTTGCATAGATATGAATTGTAAAGGCTTGTAAAATAGTTGAAAATATATTGTAAATGATGTCTAATTTGTAAATCATTATTTCCAAGTCCGACATATAAAGGGCTTTTTGACTTAAAAGACGGAAAGTTTATAGGAGATGTAATAAACTAATCTGTTTCAAAGTACCAAAAGTTTTGTGTCAGTACATAAATTTTTTTGTCCTCGGGTGCCAGGTATAAAATTACATAMAAGAACCGACTTCAAGAGTTAATTTAGGCATGAATTTTTTCACATTGGGGGTTTATTCACCTTATAGCAGGTTAAAGCAGTCGCTGGAGCTTGTAAGTAGGCTTTTTCATTGCGCCATTGAAAACCAAAGACTTGTACAATATGTATAAAAGCAAGTTGTTTGCGTACAAAGTCCTCTGGGACTAACAATTTACAGTTTGGAATGAGAGGAATTTTTTTTGACAAAACGTTTTGGCACGCTCTTTCCTTTCGTAATGTGGTAGGAATTTATTGGAGTTCAAAGTATCCTGGATAGAGAGCAAAGTCAAAAGATTTTGGCGCCTTTTCCTTGTTTTTAAGATTTATCTGGTTTGTTTTTCTAATGAATTAAGTGCATGAGTATAATTAGAATAAAACTCGTTAATTCTGCGGGATAACGCTATATGTATATAAAAAAATCAAAAGAAATATTTTTACCCTAAAGACGAAATTGATTTTATGTTATCCAAAAGTAAGGCCGGGTTTTATCAAATGGCAAAGAGTGACTTGCGGAAGGATAAGTTTACAAGCGTCACGCTGTTCAACGCAGTGTCCTGTTGTGCTGTGTTTATGTATATTCAGAGCAAAGGTTTTCGAGTGAGTGGGTACAGACATGTGGCAGTATGCAAATGTCCATGATATGCATCAATTGAAAACCGGCCTTCTTTGCAGTCTTAAAGTATACATTATGAAAGCACTTGTTGCGCTATTATTCAAATACTATCATTTTCAAAACATTGACAGTATGAAGCGGTCAATATTTAGCTCGATAAGAAACCAAATCAAGCACTAAGTGAAAACATACCATGATGTCATCGGTGTCTCTTTCACGCACTACCTTTTAAAAACCATACAAAATTAATGGTATAGCTAAAGTGAGGCAAAATAAGTTCTTTATAGATATTTTTTTAATCCAGAGAGCGTCAGYCTGCCGCATGTTTTTAAATCAACATGACGAGAAAAAATTTGCAGCTATATTCAGCCAGACAATATTTATCTTTGCATAAATGTTCGGTATTTCGTTATCTTGTCTAAAGTCCACCGTCACAACGTTGGTATGGACGATGTAAACATTGCTGTTTCCGTTTTCTCATTCATTTCCGGTATTTGTTGACTGATGGTTTCCTGTTGACCGTGTGACCAGAAAAATTGCATATTCAGATGCTTTGGGGGGAAAATGTACTTACGTTTTAAAAACGAAAAACGAAAAATAGGAACGTGTGCGTCATGGATATTGCATAGGTTTCTTTAATTGAAGGAACGAAAAATAAATTTTTTAAAGATAAATCTTACCAATGGACCTGGGAAAATTAGGAATCAGAGGTCACTGTTCTTTTGTTTAACACCGAAGGAGGACAACCGGGACCACCGTTGTTGATAGCCCCAAGACACTTTCTTATAGATATCAGATGTTAATACTTATATCTTGAATGAAATATCCCAGGCCCCCATGGAAAAATTGAGTTTTGAGCAGTATTTTTCTATCATGTAGAGTTGGCAAGTATTCAGACAAAGTCTGCCTTCTTAAACAAGACTTTTGTTGTTGTTTATATGGAGTGGAATGTAAAGAGTACACTCGCTTTTGATGCAATTTGCTGAAGTGCCAGATCTCCAGAATGCACTTTTGTCAACACTTCGGAAATTGCTCAATCGATCGCAGAGACTCCGGGCAAAGGTCGGTCTTTGGAGTGGAAGCTAGATAAAATTGGTACTTCACTGCCCTAATTCCTAACTCTAATCATAGTAACTATGTCCTAATTCAATGTTTCTGTTGTAAATGCTTTTGATGTTGCCGATATATTTTGACTATTGATGAAATTGACCAAAGTCCTTTATTAGGAAGGTGTTTATTCCTTGGTGTGCAAGACCTCTTACAGAAATCCAAACAATTTTAAGAGGTCAATTTCCGTATATTGTACCTTTCTACATTTACACCTGCAAAGTGGATAACTATATGATGAAAACCCTAAATTCGTATTGTTTATTCTTTTCGTTTTTCGAGATGCATAGAACACTGGAAACAAGCAAGATGTAGCTGTAAGTGAGATTGCGTTACATTGGTGTTGGTTATTGTTTACGTAGTTAGGTCAAGTAATTTTCCATTACATTTTGTGGTTAGCCAAAATCGAGGGGAATTACATTTTTCGTGTCATTAGGTTTGCGGTAACTAATTACAAGGTTCAAAAGTCAGAGTTGATTTAAAATTAACACATATGAAAATGGTTTAATCATTGCGCACGGAAGTGAACAACAAGAGCGGGAATTGGGAAGCCTGTCACGCATTTTTAGTAGATGCGCACAGGAACTCCGTAAGCCAAAGGAAACTGGATTTACTGGTTTTGTTGTTTTGACTTGAAAATTTGTTAAATCGAGCTATAAAAAGATAAAACATTTCGTATACAGACGGGGATATTGTTATTATGATAAAAACAAGCCCCGGTTGCCGTCTGTTTGACCTTCTGTCTGAGCCGGAGCCCGCGGTGGGGAGCAAAAACATCCTGGCGACCCATCTTACCTGGGGCTAGACAAAAGGTGCTACCCGTTGCACTGATGTAAGCGTGCATAGCGTCTCAATTGCAAATCATAAAAGGAACTCTTCCATTTTTATTCCAAATTGTACATGTGTACTTTTTGTGTGTCATCAGCTCCCAAACAATGAGCAGCTACTCAATGGGAGTTGGATTTTTTAATTTCCGGATTTCGCTTCCTTTTGGTGGAAAGCAAAAACACAATATTAATACCAAGATTTTTCGTTGAAATCAAGTGTAAAGGGTCCATTTCTTTTCATGCATATTCTCTGCCAATCAGAAATGAGGAAAAGAAAACACTACACCAATCGCGCAGAAATCCGCAGAAAGCGCGCACGCTCTAAGCTTCCCGCCAAAACTCTCCAGGCCCGCAATCGTTCATGGGAAACTATTGATTGAACCTCTAAAATATTTACAACGAAGGAAAAATGAAAAGGTTTTCCTTTTCTTCTTGAAAAATGCACGCAGGAAATAACGTAAAATGGTAAAGGCTCAACGCAAAGGTAAGCTGTTTTGCCTTGCATCACTCGTTATATTATTTTTCATTGTTTTCATGGACTGTTTGTTTGGGCCTCGCCTAAACCAAGGTTTGACTTCATTCATCGAACTACATTTCTCCTTAACCCATTTTAATGGCTAGTAAACGATAATTCTAATTTGAAAAAAATCTAGTTTGAAAGGAGTGTAGTTGGTAAGTCGAAATCTATAGGTCACTGAGGGCGTACCTGCTGCAGTTCCGTTTACTCTCTATACCATGAAAGAGAACAAATATAAAATCTGCTATCACAGTTAAGAATTTATGCRTGAAAGTGAAGTTTTCTTCATTTGATAAGTCCTAACTAGGAAATGTATTGTAAAATTCTAAGAACAATAGGGTTTAAAATTGTTTGCTGGCAAAAGGAGAATGATAAATATTACTCAAATCCAACTAGTGGTCTATTGTCAATGCTGCATTCTGATTGGATGAGCTACTGATAGGCTATAAGTTATAGCCTACTAGCAGCAAAGAAGTGCTGGCTTTGAAAACCAAAACATTGAATTAAATTTAATTTGCATCTATATATTTGACTGACTAGTTTGATTTGACTAAAACAGTTAGTCCTCTCACCCTCATGGCCTATGAGGCTAACATGGCTGCCATCAATGGTGCAAAGCCTTTATAGACGCCTTGCATGTGATGTCAAAGCAGCTCTCGACCTAGGGGACAAAACAAAAGAATTCCAATCTCCTGAGAATAATTGCAACCTATTGTTTTGTCTTAAGCTGCATTCCAAAGTGCTGCAAGGGGTTTATATTCATGAAGGAACATATGGAAAAATAGATGCATATTCAACCCCTAAAAAAATTCAAACTGATGCTGAAAAAAGTTCCCTGCCTCTGCAGTCTCTAAATACTACTATTTTGTTTTGATACTTTTGACTTTCATAAAAGAATATGGCATCAGAAGGAAATACACCTTATAAWAATACTGGACTTGGATAAGAAAAGTATCAAGGCCCGTGTATGAATATTGCTGTATTGCTTTGTGTTGGTTTCTTGAACTTATAATTTACTTCAATTAAACTGAAACTGCAAACATTAATAAATTTTTACACTCTATTATAAATTTATTAATTTTTATGCTCACCTTTTGAGTATGCATACTATATATATAAGTGTCATCCAAAGATATTTATATATCTTTTATAAATACTTGAACATTAAAATCTAAATTGATATCTTTAAACTCGTAAGTTAAGCTTCAGAACAAATAATTCTACGCTTTTCTCTTAAATAATAATGTTAAAGAGAACTTGGGAAAACAACAGAGTAGTTCCCTTCCCCCTTCTTACTAAACTCCACTGAGTAACAACTCTATAAGGCCATTTTTAGGCAATTCAAAGTTTTTTGAATGGATTGGAGTGCTGTCAATGACTCATGAACAATAAAATCATTTCACTTGAGAATTACCAGCTTTAGACAATTTTACAGTACACAAGAATATGTCATTTAAATAAACAGGGCACCCACAGGGGAACAAAATTCTGTTCCAATGTGACATTACTTTGATTTCCCATGCCACACAAAACAATAAAATAGCAATAAAAATGATCCACTCATATAACAAAATGATGAAAATTCATGAAATAACCCTTATCACCCTGTACTGAGACAATGGGGGTAATGGCCAATAGACTTCTTTAGCTTTGTTGTTTGTTGTGCACATTTCAGACCATGTGATGCCACTTTTGGGGGTTGATTCATTCATATGCAAATATTTTAACATGTAAGTCATAAAAGAACAATTCTCAGGGGAATGTCGTGATCTGGAATGGGCAATTTATATATGAAGCTAAAGAGGTCTATTCAAAGAGTCATTCCCAATTTTCCATTTTCTCTAGATATCTGTACACGTTTTTCATTTCTTGATGCTTTTCTTGATTTACTACTTCCACTGGCCATGAGCACACTAGCTTTTGCTTTAGACCAAGATGAGCCACTAGACTTTCTTCTTTGTCGACTTTCAGAGTTTCTTTGGCTTGCATTGCTCTCTGGCCTACTGAGACGTTCTAAAAGATATCACTAAATTAACATTATCTTAAGATTGAAAAGGTCATTTATGGGTCATTTAAAGTAATTTATATGTCCTATAGACCTTTTGGGCTCGGGGGTAATGCCGTTTCCATTACAGACCACTTATTATTTCYTAGAGTTTATTTTCTTTCTTTAAAGGTTGTGCATAAAAAAACGCATTAAAAATTTTTAAGCATATAAATTTCATTTTTCCTAGTTTACTATACAAATCTCAATGCAAACCTTTATAACCTTTAAATATTAAAGTTTAAACCTTGGGTAAGGATAGTGCTAGTATACATATATACATATATTATACAAACCTCTAAAAGAAGATGTTACCACCTCTATGTTATTCAGCATGGGCGTATATAATGGACTCTCTGATCCCTCTTTTTCTATGATTAATATAATTATGATAATAATTATTATTATTAATTAATCAAATATATGATTAAACCAAACTCAGCAAAATGTACTTCTTAGCCCCCCCCCCCCCCCCCCCCCTCAAGATTTTAAAAAGTTACTGCTGTTCCTGAGCCCAGGTGGTCTAGCCATGCGAGGGCACAAGAGATCTAATCATTTTAGTATCAATAGACTAATAGTCAGAAAAATAAATGGATACAAATAATTCTGGAATAATGGCAGTTTGAATAATTTATTTTTTTCATAGTTTGATAAGTTTAGCTTTTGATAATATATTTAAAATGAATACAAACGATACTAGTCATAGTTTGGTTTTCAAAGCCAGCACTTTTCACTAAAAGTAGGAGTGGTCCATCACTAATAGACAACTAGTAGCTCAGCCAATCAGAGCACAGAATTTGTGATAGAACAATAGTAGATTTATACCAAAACGCTTTAGAATCTTAATTTGGGTAAAATGTTTTAATTTTTATTTCTTTTATTCAAAGGCTCTTAATAAAAGTAATGGATGACAAAAATCTTGTAATATCATTGCTTTTTTTTTACTTTAATTTTCCATTTTAAATGACTTTTTTTTCTTTCATTTCTTCACCTTTACCCATTTTAAGCACATTTCTTTAACTCTCTCTTTTCATTCTGATTTTTTAGCCCACAAAGATGGAGTTCATAATTGACGTCAGTGATCCCTTCTAGATAAAAAATGTAACATCACTGTGCCTTTAGAGTTCTTTTAGAGTTGATAATCCCAATGATAAACAAATCAAATCACCGTGTCATTAATTTGTTGTTAAAGATTAACTTACTTTCTACTCTGATAAGCACAAAAGTTCCTCTAGGTTTTAGAACATCGTTTGCATATTTTCTACCATGTTCTATAAGATTTTGAACATTGCCAAGTTCATCTGACAAGTCCACAGTAACTAGAAACAAAAAACAGTTTTCATGACAACAAATTGGTATTGTAAACTCCTAAACAATGAGAAACAACACTTATTATTTACTGATTTAATTGAACATGACAGCTGCGCCCTTTCAGACTAATGAGTTCTTTGCCTGGCTTACCGTCTTTGTCGCATTGGCATCTACGTTTTATATCCTCTAGAAGGTTCTTCGTAATACAGTTTGGGTTAAACAAGGCTTGCTCGCTATCTGGATGATAAGACATTAAAAAACATTCTTGTCAATATGATTGAATATCATTCTCTAAATTAACTGTGTGTGCACTCTGTGTGTTTATCTAGTACCATGAATGTCAAAAACATTTAGAGTGCACTGAAAAGTGATAGAATTTACAGCTTTTTGAGCGATACCTCCATACTTGACTGTGATAAACATATCCTCAAAGCTTTGACCACTCACGTTTGACTCGATGAAAAACTTTCACGGGATTTAACCTAAAACACCTAGTTTTTAGCTAGTTATCTCTTCCTAAAACACCTAAGATCAGTGTTTAAATTTGGTCCTCAAATTAAGGAATATTTGGCCCAAAAAAGTCTTTGTCATAGTCAGGACGACTCTGTATCCATGGTAAAGCAATTTAACAGCAGTACACAACAAAGAACGAGATAAGGAGGATTGAATTCCTGTAGAGTATGTCGTCATTTAGATCAATCAGTCTGGCTTATTAAATTACAAACATGTACGACAAAACTTGTCGATAGCTATAAATACTTTATAAATAAATTTAGTGTTATTGATGACAATGGATTGTGCATGATATGGGAAAAGAAAAAGGAAACAATAGGCCTATAGCTCTGCTAATTAGGCTGCAATATCTTTATTCACCTAAAATCAGGAGTGCGTTACTCATAAAAATATTTTATCAAGTTTATGAAGCGTCCATTTTTCTTTAAATWCAGTTGCTGCTGTTTAGTCTCAATATAAAATTTTTGATTTTTGGAAGAAGTTTAAATTATAAAAAACATCATTATTAACATGTGCCTTGCCTTTCAACAGAACGAGAGGGGCCCGTCCCTCTGCTCGCAGTGTAGCTCGTCCCATCTTGGAATCAGTACTTAGTCGAAAAAGTTGGGATTATTAACTAGAGCACCGACATATTTTAGCGTCAAATCTTCGCATTCAGCATGGATATATGTGAGTATTACAAGCGATAGTTTGATATCTGCTAAGTAAGACGATGAATTCTGCTTTATCACTTCGTCCTGGGTTTTTTTTTTTTTTTTTTTTTTTTCCGTTTTTTTTTTTGTATTTTTTTGTTTTTGTTTGTTTTTTTGTTTTTGTTTTGTAAAATTCTCAAAATCCTTGTTGTGCTACTACCATACGTTCTCTTATGAGAGCCTTTCGCTGAACAGGCGCGCACTCTTTACATAAGCTGCGACCTTCAAATCAAGTTTCATCGACTTCTTGTACCGCTGGCCACCTGCGCAGCTAGATAGTTTGCTGCTATCGTGCAGGATGGAAGAGAATGACGCCAGACTTTGATGGTGGATTAAATCTGAACGCTGAGATCCTGTTCATGGGAGAAATTGACCGTTTATAACCTCATTGGATAACACAATTACTATAAATCCGTAGTTTCCATCATATAGTCCCAAGGTATCACGTGGAAATGCGTATACGGATAACGAGGTGAGATATGAATTTTATATATTTCTTCTTTCTGACTTTAATTTTTAAGTTATAATGGTCACTCTTCCCCAATTAAATAATTACTGGGGTAACTCTTAACCACAACCAACCTCGTTTACGTTTCTAGGTCACACACTCGTTCAATTGCCGTAGAAATAAACGGGAAGAAAGCAGGCTTGAGCAACCAAAAGAAAACATGCAAATGGGAGAGAAAGTACTATTCAGGTATTTATTGTATTATCAATTCGATACCTATCGTATTAGCCGTTCTAAGGCTGAGGAAAAACTGGGTCTAGTTTGCATTGCAATGCATTTTGGGGCTGTTTAAGGGATGAAATGGACGCCATCTTGGAAATATGTTGCCTAAAACAGCCTCACAATGCACTGCAATGCAAACTAGACCCAGTTTTTCCTTCAACCTCGGAAAGGCTAATAGTAGCGTGAAGTATGTAAGGTGCATATTAATTTGTTGGTAATTAAGTCGTCAATGCTGAATGATAGTAGCCTGCGTACAGACCCAATTTAACTTTCATTTATTAAATTCGGTCTG